AAGAGACACTGTAAGGGCGAATCACCCCAGAGGGAGGAGGCAGAAGCTCCCATTCTGAAGAGGATTAGAGAGAGAGAGAAGGTTTAAAAGGAGGATTAGAATGAGCCCTCTGGCCAGATGAGAATGATGGAACTCAGAGGGCATCCCCAATGAGTCATGCAGTTCCCAGGAGATGGGTTCAAGGATGAACCCAGGAAGGAAGGGGGTGTAGGTCATCACCTAGACCCTCACTTCCCAGAGGCAAAAATGCCAGAAGCCGGAGGGACCTAGCGCGCTAGGGTTTTGACGGATGGCGGGGGTCCTGGACCCAGTAGGAGGAAGGTTAAAAGGAGTGTGAGAGAGAGAGAGAGAGAGGAATGAGAGGTTCAGCCTCCGGGACCGGGAACGTGTCAATGCTGGGGCCGGGGGAATGTGATTAGGGTGAAGGTTTAAATACTCTACAAGCCTGACAAAAGGAAAAAGGGGCTTACCTAACCGATGAGCCGGTGGTGGGTGAAGGATGTCAGAGCCGGAGAAAATGGATGAGGGCAGACCATCAGTCCCGGGGGTGTCACGGAGGGGTCCGAGGAAGTCCGAGGAAGGAGTCCCCTGGTGCAGGGTGAACTCCTCCTGTGTTTCAGCACCAATGAAAGGGCGCACAGACCCGAGCTGATAAGATGACAGGACCCGAGCTGACAGTTCGCCAGAGAAGTTCCACTTAATTCAAGGACTGCGTGTATATTTATAGGGAGCTGTGTTCTGGGTTTTGACAGGGGGTGGACGGGGTAGTAGCTGATTGGATGGGGCTGGGCAGGAGGTGAGCCTTGACCTGTGACTGGCTGAGGTTTGGCGCGGGTGGGCTTGGGTGTTGGTACTGGTGGGCTTGTTTACGGCGGAGAAGAACCCTGAAGGGCGCCATGTTGCTAGGGAATGCTTTTCCCCGTCCCCCTCCACTTGAGTGCCCACAGTATCCTTACAATGTCTGTCCTCATGACATTGAACTTTCACTTTGAATGTCCCATGACTCAGGGTATAGGGACTTTCAAAGGAATAGGATGGAAATTCTAAAGTCTTTCTGATGTTGGACACATAATAGGAGACCCTCATATACAGATAGAACTCTGAAGGGAATGCTACTCTCAGTATCAGAGAGAACAGTTACAGATACAGATATAGCTATAGCTGTAGACATAGACCTAGACATAGATATATAACTCACAACCACAAGGAGGTTTCAGACTAATTTACAGGTGAATTCACAGCATGTGTGTCATCCAAAATGCGTTAAGCTGAGAATTTATATTAAAGAAGCTGAAGGCACATTATAAAATCAGTATAAATTATATAAAATATAAAATATGAAATAAAATATAAAATAAAATAAATCAAATCAAATCAAATAAATAAAATAAAACATAAAATCAATATAAATAATATAATGTGTTCCAGGCACATTATAAAGTCAAATGTATATCCCCTCTGGATGGATGTACCTTCAAAGCAGACTACAAAGAATTACCACAGGTAAAGTTCCAAGGAACCGAAGTGCAAACTCAGAAAAAAAAATCACAGACATCTAAGCTTAGATAAAATATTGAAATTATTATTAGATTCAGACTGTAAGAAAGTAAAAAAATAGAGAATAAAATTATAACTAGGAAACAATACACTATGTAAATGGCCAAGTATATCTGAAAATAGTCCAAACCATCACATATTCTTACTAAAGGTAATTTGCAAAAAAAAAAAACCCAAAAAAACCAAAAAAAAAAAAAAAAATCTTTAGAAAGTAGAAAAATCAGGCCAGATGAATGGTCTGAAATGAAAAAGAAAAAAAAAAAAAAAAAAAAAGAAAAAAAGAATAGTAACCAAACAAATTGGTAAATATGTACAAAAATACAATTAACAATCAATTGTACATAAAACAATAATAAAGATATTTATTTATAAGGTTTACAAAAACTAATTATGACAATATAACCAAAATTCTTGACTGCAATTGCATCTAGTTAAGAAGGGAGCTATAAAATTAAAATGTTCTAAGTTTTTCGAGAGGAAGTTAAGAATATTATAACTAAGTACTTACTAAAATTTCTAGGGAATCTACTAAAATAAAAATTGATCAGTACAAAAGTAGGCAAAAAAGGTAGAAAAATACAGAGGATGCATAGACAGCACACACTATAATGGTTGAGATTAATTCAAATAGAGTAGAAAGTTCTATGAATAAGAGACTAAACTACCCAGTTAAGAGAAAAGATTCTTAGACTGAACTAAAAAAAACCCCCAGTCTAATTACATGATGTTTGAAAATGATAATCCTGACACATAGGATTGATACAGCAACGAGTACAAGAATTTCCATAGCATCGTTCTCTGTTAAGGGAAAAATGACCGAAGAGCCCATCAACAGGAGAATGGATACATTGTCATACATTCATGCAGTAGAAAGCCATACACCAAGGACAATGAATAGACCAGACATCACCCCTAAATGTAAATGACTCTCAGAAACATGATACTAGCAAAAAAAGTCACAGAAGAACTTACAATGTAAGATTCCATTTATGTAAATTCAAAAGCATGCAAAAGAAAGTCTACCTGGGTGGCTACTATTGGGATGCATATATTTATGGTAACTATGAAGAAAAGCAAGAGAATGGTAAGTATGAAATTTAGGATAGTGATTTCATCCGGACTGGAGGGAGCAGGTGAGATGGGGAAGGTACACATTGATATGTATGGATCATATTGTTGTCCTGCTTATATTTGTTAATAGGAGTAGTTCATTTCACTGTTATTATTGGGTTCATTTTATTGTTCTTATTGTGTTATAGATAAAGATATGTATATATTTCAATATATAATAAAAACCAGTTAGGGAAAAGTAGTGAATAATTAAGACAGATTTTGCCATCAATTAGCTTAGAAAGCAGCAGGGAGAAAGACAAGTTCTTAAGTTACCTCATTTCATCCTCACAGCAGACTTAATGAGTTAGGTATGAGTTTCATTTTTCCTGATTAGTTAACTGAAGATCAGTGAGCTTAAGTGATCATTACGTTTTAATTGTGCAGTAATGAGCAGAGCAGGGATTTGAAGCAGGTCTGACTAACTGTGAGACCCTTGATGTGACACTTTCTGTGAGGGCTTTGATCCTTTGACCTGCACAGTTTCACACATTCTTTCCTCCTATCTTCTCTTGTTTTTTTATTGCCTCCCCTACCAGGTTAAAAATCCCTCAATAGTACAGAGCAGGTCTTGTACATTTTTTTGTATCTTCTTTTTATTTAAATGAATTTGATCTAGCTCTGTGTGTGTGTGTGTGTGTGTGTGTGTGTAACTGTTCTAGAATTTACAAATTAGAAACCTCATTACTTTAAATCTGAAAATATTAAGATGGACAAGATGATGACATCTATATGGAGCAATGTCCCTTTTTTCTTTCTCATACAATATGGCATTCTATGCACTGGAGCACTTCACAGAGGAAAGTAAGTGTTCCATCATAGTCTCATAAGCAGTGGAGAGGAAGGGTGAGTTCATTGTTCTAATTGAAGATGAAAATGGGGGGAAAAAAGATTTGTAAGCTTTGGATCTTCAGGTGTATCTTTCTGATTTTTAGTATAATGCATAATGCTCAGAAGCATAGAAACTAGAGAGAATAACCACTGTTTCCTCAGCCATTACATTTCAGTGTGATGGTGGGATTTAGTACTCCAGTACTAGATCTGGGCTTGAGAGAGTCTTCGCTCATTGGACTCAGGCAGGGCTGGTAGCTGCCTATGTGACGTGATTTTAGGTGCATCAGTTATAATACCTTTTACATATGATGGCCAGAGCCTAGCATGATAAAGCTCCAGAATCCCCTGAAAGCTCTCTTACCAGCCTGTTTTGCAGACGCCAGCTCTGCTCAACTGATTTGAAATTCCTGCTATCTTTTGGGGCTTTTTTTGCCTAAAAGGCAGGGATACAATTCTTAGAGCCTTTGTTAAGATTAGGGTGGCCATATAACTTATTGTCCAAATGGGAACTCTTTTTGAAAGCTAAAGGGGGGCTATTAATAATTTTGCCAAGACAATAGCACCTATGGGACCTGTGATGTCCTGGTTAAAACTTACCAATCCTCTCTTCTGGCCTGTCCCATTAGAATATTGTGTTAGTCCATTTCATGTTGCTGTAACAGAAATACCTGAGACTGGGTAATTTATAAAGAACAGAGGTTTATTTGGCTTACGATTCTGGGACAGCTACATCTGGCACGGGCTTCAGGCTGCTTCTACTCATGGTGGAAAGTGGCAGGCAGCCGGCGGGTACAAGCAGATCACATGGCAAGAGGAAGCAAGAGAGAGAGGAGGTACCAGGATCTATTAAACAACCAGCTCTCGTGGGAACTAATAGAGCAGGAACTCACTCATTAATCCCCCCTCCCCCAGGGAAAGCGTTAATCCATTCATGAGGGATCTGCCCCCATGACTCAGTTTCCAATACTGCCACACTGGGGACCCAATTTCCACATGAGTTTTGAAGGGGACAACACATCCAAACTCCATCAAATGCCAACAAAGGTTATCTGGTCACCTTTGAAGGCACATACCTTAAGGGATTTCTTCCTTTTTCATTTTATTCAAGGTTCCTTTAGATTGGTACTTTAATTAAATCATTTAACTTGCAATATGTGTTTTTATTAAAATGTTAAAGAGAAAATTAGAGAGGAGTGTGTGTGTGTGTGTGTGTGTGTGTGTGTGTGTGTGTGTGTACTAAGCATGACATAAAACTCCTTGATGTATTCCATATTCAGTTGCATTTTCAAGATTTTGCTAGAATTCGTTCAATGTAATCATAATCAAGATGTATGTTATTGAATGTATCCCTGGGATAAGAAATTATTTTCATGTATTTATATGTAGACAAATGATTCATTGTGCCAATAAAGAGTACTTCAACCTGCAAGACCTACAGCCACATGAGTGTGGAAAACATGTTTCTAGTCATTTGACTGGTATTGTTTTCTTCTTTGTAGCATCAATTGCATCCACCTGCAATGATCCAGGGATGCCTCAAAATGGCACTCGCTATGGAGACAGCCGTGAGGCTGGGGACACCATCACATTCCAATGTGACCCTGGATATCAGCTCCAAGGACAAGCCAAAATCACCTGTGTGCAACTGAATAACCGGTTCTTTTGGCAACCAGACCCTCCTACATGCATAGGTATCAAGCAACAGACAATAGAAATTTTTCATTTAAAAATGAATGTGTGTTATTATTAACATGCCTTTGTAAATGTATTATATCTTCAGAAATGTTTCTCAAGAGTTTCTTGAATGTCCTCTGGCTCCCTGAGACTATACTGAAATTTTATGGTGAACCTTTAAAATTTATTTTATTAGGTGAAATAAAGGAAGTAGTTTACTTAATCTACAGTCATTGACATTTATCTAACATTTCCTATCCTTAACAAATCTTGTATAAATATGGACCAATCAAATTACTGTCATTTAAAATTCTGGGTGGCTCAAAATTCATAACTCTGCTGTTGCTATCCTAATTTTTAATATAGAAACATGCCCTTAAACAAGACCTTTACACTTAAAAGTACTTTCTCTTTTTAGATGTTTTATTCTATAATATGGGTACATTTTAAATAGAATCCTGAAAACTAGAAATTATACTGCTTATGTCAAATGAAGATAAAAAGAGAAACTTGTTTCTGGAATTCATTAAAATTTTATAGTTCGACCTTATTAAAAGGATAACAAATGGTTTTGTAGACTTTGAAGAGCCACTTAGGATGATCTATCACAAATAGGATTATAGGGCAATAGATATTTTTATGTAAAGTAGTAGTTATATGTAGAATATCTCATCAATTAAATATTTTACCATAAAATATCTATTTACAGTATTTTATCTTAATTTTAAAAAGAAACTCTACTAAGTTTTATTATTTTAACGAGTTATCACAGCTTAGTACTTTTTTTTATTATCTGTTTGAAAAAGTAAAATTTAATTAATCTGTGAGGAGAGGAAGTGATAATAAAACGGCATGCATATAGTTAATGGGCCATTTTGCATAGGGTAACCTTCAGGGAATTTTGTGGTTTAAAATGATTTTTATTGTCATATACACAGCAGTAGAGAAGTTCTCAGTGGTCTTGTAGAGCTTTGACACACAGCTTCCTACTTATTACAAAGTACGCATTATAATATTCTGAAGATAGATGAGATGTGATAGCTCTGCTTATTAGCATTCCCAACCTTGCCAGAGTATCCATGTTTATTTAATGTTTTGTGCTGCATTTACATTTCATAACTTTTGCGAGCATAGTCATGCATTTTATTTCAAGCTGAGTCATCAGGAGACTTGTAAGTTTTCTGCGTGTTTCTTTTTTAAAGTTGAGTAATTAGCTATAAATGCAACAATCATTTTAAACCATTGGCCTATTTTTTGATTAGGCAAGGCCTCTTTTTGCATGGTTTTAAGCTCATGGAAGAGTGCATTAAAAAGCAATACAACTGTTAGTTAATCTCTTAAAGGTAATTTTTCACTTTACATTAATGTAAACATGTAATTGTAAAATTTGACTATCTGCCCAACTAATATATCGTCTTTTGTTAGGTCATCTCTTAGTTATCTAATTTTGATCAGCACCTAGATACTCCAATCCTCAGCAAAGAAAATAGATAATGCTCCCTCGGTCTTGAACCGAGGCAAGGTGAAATCACGGGCAACTGAGTAATCAATTATTTTGGCAGAGACCTGCCTACCCAAATAGATATTAATTAATTAAGAGAAAAATGGAAAACATATTTGTGAATTAGTGAACATTACCCTCTTTTTGTGACCTTGTAAATTTTTTTTTTTTTTTTTTTTCAGAATGAGGTTATGTCTTCTGTTAGAAATTTGCTCTTTAGGGCATCAGCTGATCATGTATTACAGCTCACATAAATTATTTTCTGAAGATTTGAGACACTTTTTATCTTTTTTTTATTCTTTTTTTCTTGTTAGAAGGTAATACACATTTATTGCAGCTATAATAAAGCAAAAAGAGAAGAAAAAAGCTGTCATCTTATGTGGAGGCAATTACTATTAACATAAATGTTCATAAATAAACTTCATAATTATCTTCTATATATATAATCTATTTTTAAATGACAGTGTCCTGAAAGATGATTCTGTAAATTGCATTTTTTACTTACCAGAACATGGTGAGTATCTTTTGTGTTATTATGTATTTTCTACTAGTTCTTAATGACTGCACAGTGTCTTTTTGGAAGGCAGCTATTCTTACAACTATAGCACCAACTATGTAGATACCATATAGATATCTGGTGTCTCTTTGTCTGGATATGTTATCAAATTAAGCTCTTGGGTCACAATGTCATGGAAATGAACAAAGCACCCAGCAGAATTTAAGGCAAGCACCGCTTTATTAAGAAGAGACAGACTAATGCTTAAGAGAGACAATAGCAAAGCTGTCTCTCGGAGAGAAGCTGGGGAAGGTTTTTTAAAGGCAAGCAGCCCCTCAATTGACACCAGCATCTTGTCTTGATGATTTGTGATATCTTCACGTGGTTGGGGGGGGGGGGTCAGTTCCAGGAGCATGCTGCATGCAACTCCCAAAGGGGTCTCTAGGTTAGCCTGTAATTTAGTTTTTATGCTTACAGGGAAAGAAAAAATGGGTAGATAATGATAAGTTTTAAATAAAGAACAAGCCTTGGGGAAGGGATTTTGCAACTCAGTGAATAACTGTTCCCTTCTTATCTCAGTTTATTTTATTAGGGCGGTTATACACAGCAGGTCTCTTTTGGTTACTTTTATCAGGGCTGTGGGGTAATCTCATACCCTGGGGTCTCATGACTGAGTAGCAGGAAAGTAACAAAGTGTCCTCCGCAGGGAGAGTGGAGTCAGATTGGTTCACAGACCACCCTTAGCTTGTCTTAGATCTACTAATACTGATTTCACTAGTCCTTATTATTCTACAGTTAAGCTGTTTCAACCTTTTCCCTATTAGGAAGTTAGCTGCAATGAATACCCCTGTTGCAAAGCACATCTCTGATTATTGATGAATAATACATTTCTGCAAACTTAGGTATTTCTAGGACTTTTAAAATATTTTTAAAAACTCTTTCAAAACAGTTTCACCAGTTTCCATTGCCATGTATGTTTTTTTCCCAGACTCAGAAAAAAAAAAAAAAAAAAAAAAAAAAACATGCCATATGGTAGTTCTTAGTCTCATAATTTAATATGGGTGGAAAGTGATGATTCCTGGTTGTTTAACTCACATTTAATATTAATAATGAGGTTAACCACTTTTCTTATTGGCCATTTGAATCTATTCTTTCTTGATTAGCCAGCTAACTTTTTTCCCTTTATGATTAGTGTATTATCAAAGGACAAAATCACAACAAATTTAGTCTAAGGATCTCAAATCGCTATTGTGATTCTAGAATTGGGCAATACTTAATTTTTATAAAACACAGTAAGTGTTCCCACGAGCTGAGTGAAAGAAGTTGCCTCTACAGACAGAAAGGGGCTGAAGAAAGCGGAAAAAAAGAAAAAGAAGCACATTGGTCACTTCCAGTTACTTTCCTTGTAAGGTGGGGATAGGGAGACAGAACAATAGAAAAATGACTGATTGTTTAACCTCAGGTTACTTCAGGCTATCTGTTTTGTGCCAGGATTAAAGTAGAGGGACGGTCATTGTCACGTCTTTATCGTGCCTATTGAAGACTGGCTGTCTGGGAAACTGGCTGCCACTCCTCTCTCCTGATTCCTCACAAGGTCAGACCACAGCTTAGTTTGAGTTCAGTGACCTGGAACTTTTAACAGGAGTGGCTCCATTTCCAACTCTAGTCTGGTCTGCTGGGGTCTAGTGCAGGAGCTCAGTCCAAAACAGTGGGCTCCTATAATTTTTACTAAACAGTATGTTTCACGCTCACTAGCTGCTCTCTCTTTGTCTTTTATAAAATCTGTTAACCTTTCGCCTGTCGTGTGCGACACCTGTCTTCAGCAGCGTGTCCTTTGCTGTTAGGGTTTGCTCGGACGGCTTTGTTTCTTCACTTCCCAAAGGACTTCTGCTATAGAGGCTCCTCCTTTTGGTTTTTTTAGCCAGGTCTTAAAAGACTATTTCTCTAGACCAGAGGACACTAACTACTTTCTAATTTTGAGTAAAGCATCCCTCAAAAGTCTCCACGGTTTCCATTTCTTATATAGCCTGCAGTCGCTTTTCCCCCAAGTCCAAATTCTGAAGAGCTCCGAAAAGCGAAAATTCATCCTAAGTTTGCAGAAACTCATTTGGTGTCAACAGCCTGCCCTGACCTAACATGTGGCTGTTTAGAGACTATTGAAGTCACTTAATGGTGTGAACTTTCATATGTTTTGATGCAGACGTATTGACGTGTCGCATTAGAGAGTGCTGCCCCAAACCCTTAGCATAAAGGGAGATGGTAGAAATATGTGGATTTTATATCTGTGTCCATTCCTTTTGGAGAATTTCCTAGAAACTCTGAATTGCATTTTGTGCTCAATTCTAATTCTATCTAAAATATTTTGCAAGCTATCTCATTAAAACTGAAGAAAGCTAAATGAAGAATACCAGACAAGCAGAGACAACAAACTAGGCAAGACAGTGCTACTTAATTCCACTTTAAGCTTTTAAAAGCCTCATTTGAAAGTGTCTCTTGGGATCTGCAGGAATGAGACAAGATTTTCCCTTGGTTTCTTTTGAATCAATATTTGAATCATATCCTTGAACTCTTCCTGCTGGTAGCACCCTGAAGCCACTGTCCTGAATCTGTCATTTTTCATCTTACAAAACCTGTGTGGAGCAGAATCCTCTAGACCTTTAGGTACCTGCTTTCTCTACATTTGCACAGCTCCCTAATTGGTCTATGCTGCTTGATTCCAGAAAGTACTGTCCTGTGAAAGCTGATTAGACCATTGTTTTACATAGATTTTTTAAGTGAAATTGCATACTAGGGCAAAAAACGTTTTACTATTTTGTGTGTGTGTGGGGGGGGAGAAATTATACCACATTCCTATAGAGTATATATCTGTTAGAATTTATTGTAAATATATCTTACGGTACTACTCAGAGTTTGCCTTTGATCAGACAGTGAGATTATAACAAGAAGTACTGGTATTAGTTGTTTCTTCCTATGGAAAATTATGTTGTCAGAAATGTTAAATGAGTAAAGACACATTCATCACTGAAAACTCTGAAGCATGTACCTTCATCTTTCATCTTATTTTCAAAAAGTCTTTTATTCTGTGAAGAAAAAGATCACCAATTAGGACATATTTTCTCTACTTATTTATTTTTCTAAATGCGTATATACTCAATGTTGTGAAATAAAATGCATAGCTTAGGGAGAAAGCTATGATTTAACTGGATTGCTGTTTTAAAAAAACTTGGTGACAAAGCACAGAATTTGTCATAAAGAACCTTTAAACCCAGAGTATTCATGTATGTATCTAACGTGTGTACTTATGGATTCTGTGGTGTTTTGCACCTTCCATGTGATGGAAATTGAAGAGAAATCTTATCTAATAAATCAAATAATCCTAAATATCTTCAGATTCAAGAACAAAAATTGTCTTGCCTCTTACCAACATTGAGCAGCATAATTACTACCTTCCTAGTATAAATGCAAACATTCAATTCAAAATTGATAACTAAATATATTATTATCATATAAAGTGCTTCTTTCTAATAATAAATAAAGCATTGTGATCAAATAATATTTTTAGAAGGTAGCATTCTAGCTCAGTCCCTCACTGATGATGTACTCTCAGATGTCACTTAAACTTCTGGTGCTCATTTTGCTAGTTTGAAATGTGGGGACGATAGTCCAAGCCCTGCGTATATCAGAGGACTGTGAGAAATATGAAATGTCAAGTATTCATTTACTCAGCAAATATTTCCTGAATACTTATTATGATCAAGGACCCGTGTTAGACATTAGGGGTAAAATGGTGAACAGAATGCAGTCATTGTGCCACATGAAGCATGCATTCTGGAATCAATAAGCAGTGACCTTGTAAAGCACGGAAAATGGCAAAAGAATTAACATGACCACACAATGATGTTCATGGGGATTTTTTTTCTATCCAAGTTTGTGTGTGTGTGTGTGTGAGCACGTGTGTGCAAGTTTGGGGGTGTGGGGATTAAGCAGTTTGTTCAGTTGGGTAAAATTTCAATTTCAGTTGGGTAACATTTCAATTGGATAAAATTTTAAACTATAGGCAAAACCTTAATATGTCAGAAGTTTGAACACCCTCCCAAAAAAGTGGGGTGGGGCATTACATAAAATTTATTAACTATTACATGAAAAATGTACAGACTTCCTGAGTGTAAAATTTTGTCTGGTTAATTGATAACCCAGCACACAGGCTCTTTGATGGAGGAAATGCTGGTGAACGAGCCCTTTTATTTTGAAGAATTGACTGGCATTCTTCTCTGTCCTAACTTTTCCTCTGTGACTTTCGTTATGTGACAGCTGCATGTGGTGGGAATCTGACTGGCCCAGCGGGTGTTATTTTATCACCCAACTACCCCCAGCCTTATCCTCCTGGGAAAGAGTGTGACTGGACAATCAAAGTGAACCCGGACTTTGTCATCGCCTTGATATTCAAAAGGTACCACCTCTCACTGCATACTTCTTTTTAGTGGGATTTTAAATGCCATACCCAAATATTATCTCATTTATCACCTCAGAGTGTCACCAATTTTATATCTTAGAAAGCACTAGACTTAGTGACTAATACATACTATATCAGGCTGCAAAATGACACAAATGGAGACATGTTATTTTTCTCTGGAGCATTCTACTTGTGCTAAGTCACACATGAATTACTTTTAAATACTGTTTATCTTGCTCACAATGTGTTTCATATAAGAAGGCTTAATTTACAGAATATCCCAGAAAAGTAATAAAAAACATGATACAGATATTCTTGGTTATAATTTCTCATCAATGTCTCCTATTTCTCTAAATGCATGACAGCTAATTCATTTCCGTAGCACATCCTATCTGAACATTCCCAGGGGTAGCACTGCTATTATCATTACTGTGGTCAAAACTTACTAGAGCTTTGAAAACAAAAGCTCCCCAAAGTTTGGTTGCGGCAAAGTCTGAATTATTAGTCATTAATCTTATAAATGTTTACTTGTGCCAGCTAAACTAGATGATAAAAGTTCAAATAGTATGGTTCTTTTATAATACTATCATATTATCAATATCTGTATGTGATAGTTACATTTTATTGAATCCCAAGATTTTTTCCAACTTCATACTTTGATTTTTGAACTAAATGAAAGAGATATTTTTAAAGGTAAATGGATCTGTAGACTATCCTATTTCTCTCTTAGCTGTCCAGGGAAACATAGTCTACTTATATTTACTTACCTGTCAGTGGAAACATTTCCTTTCCTAGAGGTCTTTATGTCTGTATTCAAGACCTGTCTGTTATTACCTTCCTTCACTTTCTCCTCCTGATGAGATCCGAGTCAGTGTAGTTTAAGTATTGATGATTCGGAGTCTTAAGTATGTTGATAAGTCATCATTTTCTGAACTTAGAAAAGTTGCTGTAAATTTATCAAATGATAAATACTTTTTTATGTCATTTAGCCATTAAACAAAACCAGCGAATGTTTGGTGATATCTATATATTTTTGATATCTTTGTGGGTTTTGTTAATACTAAATTCTAGTATTGCCTCCTTAACACCAGGAGTCACCCCCGGTTCCAGGCGATTAAAAGAAAATAACAATTAAAAGCCTGTTGCTGAACACAGAGCTGTATTAGTAGGAGTTTCCTACCTTCCATTGTATCACAGCAACAATTACCAAGGTTCCTAAATTGTAACTCATTTGATAATATACGAGGCAGTTTTATGTGAGAAATTTTTTCACTGTATTTTACATACTTCTCTAGAACAGGTTGGAATAGAGAATCTTTAAGTCTCTTTCAACTCTTAGATTCTATGATTCGTTAGGTGGCTCAATATCTCAGAAATTTTACATACCTGTGACTTCTTCTCTGATCTGGAATTTGCATGTGCTCAGGTGGAAATTATCCAGGGACCTTAACAGCTAGATCTCTGTGGTGGGGAGAACGAAGCCAGAATCATGGACTGAGACAAGGATATTCAACAACCCAGACAGGAGGCTGGTGCCGACTAGGGCCGCCCGTGGTGCACTGTTAAATAGTACAGAGAAATTCAGGGGTGCCTTTGAGGGGAGGATGGGTGTTGGGACAGTAGAATAACTTAATCAGGCTCCCTCGCCTTAGGTTGGGTTGGGGGTGGTGCAGCACATTCTTTGTAAATGAGTTGTGTGTGGGTGGAGTTAGTGTGCATACGCAGCACCACTGCTTGGCTGGCATTTACTGCCTCAGGCATCTGCCTTGCGCAGCCATGCCCTCGAACCTATGGCTCCAAGGACCTTTTTACCAGTTACCTAGCTCCTAGACCTGTGTGTGAAGGGTTTGTGACCCAGTCTGAACAACAGGCTTGAGGGGTTTGTAAGCTCCAGACCTAGCCCTAACCCGACAATGGGAGTCTTGCATTACTGACAATAAACACAAGGAATTATAGATTTGAAGGCTCATTCTGGTACTTGGGGTTTTGGAGGAGAGATGTTTTATCATCCCCTATAGACTGTGGGGCTGATGCTTGCACATTAAATTAAATTTGGTTCAAAAGTTGTTCAGACTTTGGTCTTGTAGAAATATGCAGGTAGCAGAGGTAGAAATAAGGCATGACTTAACAAATGAAATCATAATTAATCGTAAATTTCACTCCTATGCATGAATTATGGTACATCCTAAAAGAGAGATCAAATGAAATGTATGTTTGTGTGTGTGTGTGTGTGATTGTATTTTTAGTGTTCAATGAATAATCTATAATAATAGTTACCTATGTCAAATATTGGGGATACAGTGTGACCAGATTCTAATAACATCCTTGCAAAGTACTCCAAATAAAATTATTATTCCAATGAAATTCCACATGGTTCATAAAATTCCTGTTACCCCCTCTACCTAGCAACTCCGATCTTTTTCTCCTTCTTCATTTCTGGCATCAGTGAACTTGTCAAATAAACAGATGAAGAAACCTGACACAACTTCCTTCAGTAAAGGGATTTGGGACCTCACGTGGGAGTGAGTGAGGCAGGGTGGCTGCAGTGCTGATGCTCGGCCCTCTCTGGTCGTCCTGTTTTGCTGTATCTTTCAAGTACAGTGGGTGACCTGTGGAGGAACGTTCTGTTCATATTTTATCATTTGAATCTCCAGAAGAGCTAGAGCAATTCAACCACAGCATATTTGGGCAATTACAAAAAAACCCTTGACCCTTGCCGTCTTGGTTACCCAAAATTTCTGCTGATGGAAAGGAAAGAGTAGGAACTGTATAAACTGAGTTCTTGTCAAAGACATAAAAAGACTCTGATACAGAGGTGAGAAAAAAAGGAGAATCTGGCCATCAAGGGTGACTTTAATACCTCCTTCTAATTTATTAATTCATTCTGATCACTTCAAGATCTTAGGCATTCTATCTTTCGCTTGAGAGTATGTATATTTTTAAAGCTCAGAGACTGTGTCAGCCTTCATGTCTCAGATAAAATCCCAGGCTTCCCATCACAAAGATAGTATACCCTTTGAGAGCTTTGGGTTTAAACCATTAGACGCTTTGGGGATTGACTGAACATTAATAAAAGAGGAGAGAGAAAGAGACAAAGAGAGAACTGGAGAGAGTGGGAGGAAGAGAGAGAGAAAATTAGAACAGTGAGTGGTGGTGAAACTTGATGTGAGAAAGTTTACGCTGTGTACCATTTGAGGCACCAGTAATATTGGCTGACTTATCTAAGGAACGGGAGGCAATTATGTTTTTTAAAGTTAAAACAAAGATAATTTTTTAAAAAATTTAAGAATAGCCAGTGATACCAAGAATACACATTTTTAAAACTAAAAATATACATATAAAATATTCTATCAGTGGGTATTCATCACTTTTGAGCTGAATTCTTTCAAAATACATTTCATTAGCAAATTTATGTGTATAGGGAAGACATATTATACCTATCTTATTCTGATTCATTTTAATTAGCTATCTTAAAAATTGTGTTGAATGTGATGGTCATTTTGCAAAATACTAATAGTATTTATTACAATTGATATTTTTATATTTATTGCTATTTTAACATTTTGATTATTATTACATTTAACTTTTTGATTTCCTAATCATTAAAATTATTACATAAAAGCAAATAAAATCACTTTGTGCCCTCAAAGGCTTAATACTGTGGAAGATAAAGAAAATATGTATTAGGTAAATAACATAATCATTATTCTTTCCTTTTAAGTTTCAATATGGAGCCGAGCTATGATTTTCTTCACATCTATGAAGGGGAGGATTCCAACAGCCCTCTAATTGGAAGTTTTCAGGGCTCTCAAGCCCCAGAAAGAATAGAGAGTAGTGGAAATCGTCTTTTTCTGGCATTTCGGAGCGATGCCTCCGTGGGCTTATCAGGCTTTGCTATTGAATTTAAAGGTACTGTGATACATTTTTTTTTTTTTTAATGAAGTCTTGTATATCTATTTAATACATAAAATGCTGACATGTATCTCATCTGTTTGAGGAAGAAAGTCCTATCTATCCAGTGGAGAAGAAATTCTAGAGACACATTTCTATCTTAGCTAAAAAGAAAAAAAGGGAACTTCTCTCCCAAATTTATGTCCATTTAAAAATAAATTATGGTTTGGGCAATGGATAATTTGATGACATTTAATAATTATTTTAAGATGTGCTTTAATGTCTTCTAATTTGTTTCTTCAGAATGACTAAATTTAAGTGCATGAAAATAGCTTAGTTTTATCTCAATATTTTTCATTGTGAAAATACCTGTTGCACTTTCCCTGTGTCTGTCACCCCTGGATGTTGGTTTTATGAGGAGCTGTGGTCCTCGTCAGAGCTTTCTTCTTTGGCCATTGGATCAGGGGTTCACACTTGATTTCATATCCACCATTCCATGCCATTAACATCCAGGGAAAATAAACTGAAGAACCCACGAACAAAACCTGCCCTAACGTAAGCATCTTGCTACTGGGTTCATAAAAATAAACAGATTTTTTTCAAATTATTTCTCATGTGAACAAAGAAAATATAAAGTATATTACAAAGAATTTTAAAAGGTGACAACAAAATATCAATTCACAGTAATGAGTGTTTCATTAAAAAATTAATGGAAATAGTTGTATTTATTTAAACTTATGAGTTCAGTTTGTAAGGAAAATTATAAAGGAATATATAGGATACATTTCATTTATCTTACCTCCTTCATGAATTTGTATTCCTTTAAATGGCTTTAAGTAGACAATCTTAATTTCCCACAAAACATAAACATCTACAATGTTATGAATCTTTATTAAAATATACATTAAAAAATTATAAAATTCAGCAATCAAAGGAGTATCTTGTGCCTCTTGGATAGGATCTGCCCTTTTCATGAATTACTGAAAACATTAGTTTTAGGCATTTGTCATACCATCAGACAGTTTCTGAACAAACAAGAACTCACTAAAATCCACTTCACATGACAGCACCTGTTTTATGATAGCCCCAAACAACAGAAAACAGAACAAAGCAAACAAATAACTAAACAAAAAAACCTTCGTCTGACTGTAAGACTGTACATTGATCATTGCCTGCGTGACACCTGCTTTTCTTCCAGGCGTTCTGAGGTCAGTGAATCAACAGCAGAGGGAATGAGTGAAGTGTAACATGCCGCACAAGTAATGTGTAGGAAGAACTGCCTTTTTACTTGGGTTCTTTAGTAACTAGTATATCCATCTAAATGGGGGCTATAGATCTTAATGTTTTACAAGTTCTCCAGTGGAGTCTGTGAAAAAAAATCACGGGAAAGATAACAGTAATGATGCTCTTGTATCTGGAAAAGAGCAAGCTCTTTTGCGGTCTTTGAAGTAGGTGGCAGAACCGGTTCTTAGGCAGGAAGGAACTGAAGGAGCAATAGGGCAATCACGCTGTGCAGCTGTCCAAGGGACCTGGCAGATCCAATCCATTCGTCCTCCAATGTGGGAACACTGGAAGGTATTCCTAAGTGGAACAGACAAGAACAGCAAAACTCACCATGTTATGAAGTCATCTAATTAGAAAACATGACAAATCGTAAGCAAAAAAAAAAAAAATACCAGTGATTTATCACCAAATATCCTGAGCTGACAACTAGGTAAATAGAACCAAAAGATTAGATTCAGTTCATTTGGAGGAAAACCTGCCATCAGAAATCTAAATTATGGGCCGGTCCGGTGGCGCACTGGATAAGTGCGCCGCTTGGGAAGCGCGGCGGCGCTCCCGCC